GACATATTCCAATTGGACATAATTGATGTTGTCATATGTGATATCTTACCCATATACTATGCTAATAGAATATAGAATACTAAATTTTAATTATATTCCATTTTATGATGTTGAAGGTATAAGTCATTGTAATATTATGTTTTCTAAAAAAATGCATCTGTTCCTTCAGATTCGATAGAGGTGTTGAAAATACTATTATTGGTGTGCTGTTTTTAGATAATCCTAAATTCCTGCATGTTTGCTGTCCTAGCACCCAACTTTCTACAAGAAAGTATTTTGACCTGTTTTCAGTTAGAGAAGCTAATATTAACTGTGCATACAGTGCAGCTTTCTTAAGCAATAAACCCTTACTTTGCACTTTCACACAGGTGTTCAGAAAGAAAAATGCATTTTTCATAGGACTACTGTAGAGAAATGCTTGGACTAAAAACTATATTTAAATGTTCCTGCTCACATACAATGACTTACCTTTTCTTTAATTAGTGGCATCTTTAAAAAGCAGAACAAAATGAATACAGTATACGTAATGGTAAAGCATGCTACCCGCTCCAGATGCAATGCTGTTAACACTGCATCAAAGTTTTCAGCTTATAGATCTTGGCCAGGATTCTTTTAAAGTTAATATTCCTTCTATTCTGGATGGAATCTTATCCCGGCAAGAAAAGGATGCAAGGGAGGATATACCCTGGATGGGATGCCAGTCCATAGCGGGACACACATAGACACAGACATGCTCATATTCGCCATGGGTCAATTTTCCCACATGCCTTTGGAATGTGGAGCACCCTGAGAAAACCCAGGCCAACATGTGAAGAACATACAACCTCCATACAGATAACACCCCAGGAATTGAACCCAAGACCAAGTGCACCCAGCGCTGCAAGACAGCAATGCTAATGACCAAGCACCACCGTGCCTCCCTGGATGGAATCTAGTTGGTATTAATAGGACTAAAATAGAAATATCACAGTTATGTACAGTATCAATTAGTATGGTATTGTGTGTGAATAAATATTGATAAGCAAAGCTTTGAGTTGACATGATTACTTGTGAAAGGCGGCAAGGTGTCCTCTAAGATACTTGTATTGAAAGGCTAGGACTTTTATCTGGCACTTCATGCTTGAGAAAGCAAAGATATTGAGTGCCCTTTTAGACGACAAATTAATTAGCAATCACAGCAGTATTCAGGTATAGGCAGGCAGAAGCGGCCTCACTGAACAATTATTCAGCCACTTAAACAATATGTGTGGTGTGCTGTTGGGGTTGGTTTAACCCTTTGGAGATGTAAAATTCTGTGTTGCTTTGTTAGCTTTGCGAGAATGGTGTCCTTTCCCATTGAGCCATTTTGATATGTGCTGTAGTTTCACTAACAATTACAGCTTTTTTAGAGATGCTTTGCTTTTTAATCTGGAAGTAACATCTTTTTTAAATATAGATGAAAAGAAAGAACACACAGTTATATGTGTAGGTGGAGAAGGGTTGAACATTGCATTGCATAGTGTTCTGGACTGCCCCTATTGCGTTCAAACATGTAATTAACTTCATGCCTGGATGCTGTAGGTGAATGGTGGATTACTGATTACTCTGACATACAGCAGGAGATAGATGGCACAGAAATGATTTTCAGGATTCTGACACCTACATGATATAAACCTTTCTGTGTTGAGGTGTTCATTTGTTAATGCCGATGTAGTATATTTAACCTATTTTATGCTCTCCCTCCCTTTTTATTTGCTGCTTTCAAGTACACAAAGAAAATAAAAAGATAAGAAGCACCACCATATACGTTTCTATTTAAATTGATCACTTGCACTGATTTAGTCCACAGTACCATTAAATCCTATTTAAGTGTGAAACTAAATACAGATGCCTAAATGATGAGTTTCTGTTGTCTACAGATCATACCGTGTTTAAGTGATGGCAGAGAAGAAAACAGCATGCCTATGTGGGCACTGTATTTTGTGTTGAATGTGTATTAAAATATGTTGGTGTATGTATTGTCTTTGCCTTTTAAATGAGGCTTTGAATGGCAGAGTAGTGCATAAAATGAAAGGAAAGGCACAAAGATTTAGAATTTTACACCTCAGTGGTGCAACAGAGTCTCTGGTAAATAAAGAACATCCCTGCACTCTTCCGTACTTCATGAATCTGCTAGGACCTGAGATAACAATCACCCCCTGAAACCCTGACTGTGTACTCCTTTGCTTCTCTGGGAATGGTATTTTCACAAGACAGGCACCACTGCTGCTATTCCAGTGCTGTGGTAATATTTTCCATCTAAAAATAGCAGGTATACAGGAGAGCTCTGATGTGTGCCATTGCAGTGGCTCTTATTTCACCTAAGTCTATCCAGACGTGGTAAAGAAAAAGTAAATAAAATGCATGAGTCAGAAGTGCACGACGTTAATGTTTTTGTGAGGTAATTACAGCCTAAAATGCATCATTACAGGTTGCATTACCTCTCGTGGAAAAGATCTAGAGCACATTTCGAAAGTGCACGACTGTGCCTGTTAATAGAAATGATGGTAATAGCTTTATTTTAGGAGTTAACATGAGATCAAAAGTGCCCTGGTAAACTGCTAAAATATCTTAACTCTTAAAAAGCAAAGTTGAGGAAGCAATTTCATTCTGTCAAAACCTGTTGTTTTAAAAAAGCAGTTTGATTTATAACTACCTTGGTAGTGCAGGCGTACTGATTTAGTCCTCACTGGTTCCTCGAGATAAAAACCTGCAAAAACACATACAGTAACTAGGTCATCATCTGCTGCCTTTCTGGGCCCTATGGGTCCCTTGTTTAATGTGCAGATCCTTTTGTTTAAAAATCATTCCACTGTTCATTTTATTTCATATCATTGGAATCATTCTATTTATACAAGATCTGTTATCCAATTGAGAGTGTCACTTTCTGAATATTGATAATATACTGTATATGCATTTTATTAACTACATAGAACAGGTCCTCCTTATTCACGGTGGACATGTTTCTGTACTGTCCGCAGATAATGGAAAATGTGTATACTTACAGCCCAGATTTCTGTTACAAAAAGAATATAAAAATGAGCATAAAGCACTTACTGTGTCCATTAATGTTCAGGAAGTTGTGTTTGGACAACAATACTATAGCTGAATATGCATGTCAACAGAGACAGGAGAATCCAATGGTGTGCAAGGTTTGAACTAGAAATGTTCTAGAAATGCCAAGAATGCCTCTTAGACCAGGCATGGCCTGACGTCTAAAGTACAGAACACAATAGATGGAGAAACAATGGGTGGGGAGGAGGGGTTGTGCTGTACACCAGCATTGTGGATTAAATTATTTTGAATGGTGACAATATGAGCATCTGTTCATGTCTGTCCTAGCATTGTTATGCTGATTTGTCATAGATTTCCCAACTTTTGAGTGCTGGATATTGGATTTCCAAATACCTTAATTTAAAAGTTAAATTTAGAGAAGGAAAAAATACATTAGAACTACAGTATCACCTAGCGAATAACAAACTTAACACAACAGAAATCATTTGGAGGTCTGCCCAGAGAAACTTTTGAGATTCTCATTGTCAAAAATGATGAAAGTTATCTCATTTTTTTGACAGACACTGATAATTGTCATGTGCCACACTTTCTTTCACAGTATCTCCGGACCGTCAATAACCAGCTGTAGCTGAACAAAAAGGGTCACCACTGTAAAAGATCTGTCATTTATCACCACTACTAAAACTGACGGTCACAAAGTAATTTCTGCAGAAAAACTCCCACAGCTGAATCTCCTTCTCTGGAGGTTTCTATTATTGATATTCTAGCAAAGATCTACTAAATTATTTTACTTTTTAAAGGAATACCTGATAACTTGTTTAACTGTGAAATAGAATTTTACCTTTCACTTTCTTACAAGAACAAAATCTTAAATGTTGCATCTGATTTCCATGTTAATGACTACATTGCGGTTGTTTTCAAAATGTTTCATCTAGATGGGATGAGAAATAAGGAAGAAATAGTACTAAGTTACTGTAAGTATTAAAAAATAATAAGTAAATATTTTCTTATTTTTAAAGCTACAGTATCTGAGCTTCCCTTGATAAAGTTTAAATGAGTAGGGTTTGACAAAAGAATTGTGGCAGGAAATTTCAGTTGGTGAATAGTAAATTAAGACATTATAAGAAAATAAACTGTTTTTATGATGGAAAAATAGCACTAGAATACCACTGGACTCAATACTGACAGGTTGTGGGTTCATGTCCTCACAGCAGGGACTGCTGTTGTTCCCTTGAGTGATGCGGTGTACCCCAGTTGCTCTAGTCTACCCAGGTGTATAAGTGGGAGACCAGTGTTACTGGGGCAATCTTCGTGATGGACTGGTGTCCTCTCCAGGGGGGTGTCACATGCTTGTAAACTGCTTCACACTACAGAAACCAGAAAGAGCTCTGGTCCAATGTGCTTCTCTGTCCCTGGCATGGGCTTTAACTCCAGCAACAGCAGTTACCTAATTCCACAAAGGAACAGTCCAGTGTTCCCTGGGTCCACCTAAATTGTCTTCTGTGAAGACCCACATGTAATAACTGTAAACATACTGTGTAAACATAAAATTATGTTTAAACATAACTGTAAAAATACAAACAAACGTTAATACTTTCATATTTAGATTGTGCAAAGGCAAATGTACTGTATGAGCATTTGGTCCGGTCATTATAACCTTCACAAAATAGATGGCTGGCTCCTATGAAAACATTAGATTTTCATTGTTAGGAGGAAAAAAAAAAATTTAAAAGAAAAAAAAAACAGAGGGCACATTGTAAATTAAATCAGAAACTTGCCGAAAGCCCTCTCCCTGTCATTCTCCTTCTCTCTCCCTGCGAGACCCAGACAGATCAGACTGTGTGAGGTTAAAACTCCGGAGGAGATTGCAGCACTTCCAAGTGTAAATGGGTTCACGGCTTCGCCGGCCTGCCGCTGACTTGAGAAGTGATGCGAAAGACTTTAATTTTCTCCTCTTCATCTCCTAGCTGACCCGGGTGCCGGTGGAGTCCTGTGGACAGTATACGACCTGCAGCGAGTGTCTGGGCTCTGGGGACCCCCACTGCGGCTGGTGTGTGCTGCACAATACGTAAGTGAAAACGGAATTGTGTGTAAGTGATTGCTCTCACTGTTTTTAGGTCATTCCGATGTTTTAAAATAATTTGTGGCGTTCTAGATTACACCACAACCCTGCATTGGACTAATCGTATAGTTAAAATATAAAGATGCACGTCGAAGATTAGCCTTTGGTGTTCATCAGTAATGCTTAACTGGTAGTAAACACTCTGTATACTGTGTATATATTTTTATTTGATTTAAATTAAAAACTATATCATACTGGTGTCACGGTGGCACAGTGGTTAGCTTTGCTGCCTTGTGGCATGGTTCAGTTCCTAGGGTGCTATCTGCTCGGAGTTTGCATGTTCTCCCTGTGGGCTTCCTCCTGGTGCTCTGGTTTCCTGCCAAAATTCAAAGACATGCTGGTAGGTTAATTGACTTTTGTAGGTTAATACTGGTAGGTTAATTGACTTCCCTTGTGTGTGTGAGAGTTTATGTGTTTGTGTCTGCGTGTCTGCCCTGCGATAGACTGGCATCCTGTCTGGGGTGTATCCCACCTTGCATCCAGTGCTTCCCTGGATAGACTCCGGGACACCGTGGCCCAGAATTGGATAAGCATTGAATAAGCTATTGAAAGTGATGATGTGATGTGACTGTTTCATCCAAGTGCAAACAATTGTTTTTTCCATTCTAAAATGGCCTTTGATTAAAAACCTTATTAGCAATTTGATCATCTATAAAAACATACTTTTGTATACTCTTTCCGTGGCAAACATTTAATTTGAGGTCATTGTGATATTGCTGAATTTGAAAAAAAAATATGATGGACGGATTGTTCAGCATTTAGCTCAAAAGCTGGAATGATTTAACTCTTGCAGTCACTATTTTTCAGAAAGGTTTGACTCGGGGGCATGTTGCTGCTCTATAGACCTGTAAAAGTAGCTTGGTCCTTGAAGGACCCTGGTGACTGTTCTGTGATCCATGGATACTTTTTGATATTAAGTTCCTGGTGAGAGGCATGGTGCCAAGGCCTAGGGATAGATTTCCACAAATCCCTGTCCTAATTTTTCAAGTAGAAATTCGATTCCATTGAGCAAGAGCCATAGAGAGCATTGATTGGTTCCCGCTAGTGTGGCAAGAAGTGGGGCTCCAGATCTCCCGTTGCCATAACGATTCTCTTTCCCACAAGCCTAGATCTATGTCTGATAGGAGAGGGCCTCAATAGGCCCAGAGAATTACTCAGTTGGTGTAAATTGAAAATTGGTAACTTGTCCTCTTCTTTGGTCTCGGGGGACTTCTTGCTAGTTTGGCCTGGCTTGTAAATTCTAGAACTGGTACAGAGGAAATGTAGTGCCCATACAGATCTGTTAGCTTGTGAAGGTCAAAGATGTAGCAACAGACCACAGCATGAAAATATAGGGGAGTTAAAAGATGAAACCTGTAAGCTCAGGAGTTGCAGTATTTCAAAGCTATGGTCCTTGTCCCTTTTATTGCTTTTCTGAAGGGCAAGAATGTAGGAGAACACAAATATTTATAGTACAAACTAATAGCTTAAAGGCACAATTGTTTCATTGTATAGTATGTTTCAATAAAAGAGTTCAAATAATAGGGGAGTGACTGAGTTATTAAAGCATCTGTGGTTTTTATTTTTTATAAAAAATAAATATACTGTATTTTAAGACCAATTGATTTATTTTTGATGTATGTTTAGCATGCTGTGCAAAGTAGGCATAATTGTTTTAGATTTACATGCAATCCAGAAATACTTACAAATGTGTTTGATCTGCAGTGACATTAAACACACAATCAAAAACATAGTATCTGTTTTACAAAGCGCTGGAAGTGAAATGTTTCTTTCTTTTAAAGAAAATTATTAAAGGAGGTTAACTTCTGCTTTTAACTTTGAGTAGCCGATGAAGAAAATAGCTGATTCTTCACCTTTCACTCTTAGTGCAAACAGTGAGCCATCTCTCCCCTGCTGTGAAGAAATTAGTATCCAGGGGCGAAGACAAAAAAAAAAGAATTGTGTTGCCCAGTGAGTGTCCGTTTGCACAGGGGGCATGAGTGGTGGATATATGAAGAGGATTAGTGTCTGGAAATTGAATAATGATGAAACAATAAATAAAACCTTCAAGCCTTTCGTTATTGGAAAGTACTCTACACATGACTGGCCTTACTTGGATTTACTTTACTTGGCCCAGTGCCGAGAGCCAGGAATAACATCTATGTCTCATCGAAGCAGGCAACTTGATATGAGATAAACAGCTCTGCCTAATTGATTGGCCCCGAGTTTACCTTTCTTAGTAAAAGTCTTCAGAATAGTTAATAGACCCCAGGTAATCCTAGACCTCTTTTTAGAAGGCAGGCCGGGGCATGTTCTTGTTCTTTTTGGCTCCTTTGTATTGTAAGATACTGCTGCATAGCAAAAGAAACAGTTCTCAACCATAATATTTTTTTCCAGCTGTACAGTCTGTGTTTTCAAAAGAATATGAAACCTACTGTGCAACAAATCAATAAAGAGAGGCTGGAAAATATAAGGCTGGAAGTCTTGTCACAGGAAATGTTAGATTGGAGTAGCTGTGTGTGTTATGAGATTCTCTCACTAGAGCCAGAGATTTGTTTCAAAATACTCCAATATCTCAACAATCACACTCCAGCCCAAACAAAAAAAAAGTGTTGGGAGCAAAATTCAGTGACCATTCCATTGGACTAAGACATCCAATTTCAAATCGATCTAAAGTCATTTATAACCCAGAAAACACAGAAAACAAATCCATTTCTCCTCTGATTTGCGACATGTGAAGGAGAGCACAGATTTCTCTGAAAATTAGTCACCAGTGTAAATATGAGCCAAGAGAGACACATCGAGAAACCTTTGACACTTTCCAGACATCTTGTGGTGAAGATGGTGAAATCAAAGTGTGTATTAGTAAAATCAGTGGTTTCACAAATCTTCAGAGCTGACCCTGTGTTGTACGGTCTTCTTTCTGTTTGACACATAATGCTTGATATAGTTTACACTTATGTATTGTTGTTTACAGGGGATACAGCTCTTAGCTACTTCTTTGGATCAAGCTCCAGGCCTGTGGCACAATTTCAGAGTGTCACATTTAGCCCCTCAGGAAAGCAGAATCAGAAAAGCTGGAACAGAATAGCATTTAACGTCATCAGGAATGTTGACACTGCCTGACCGCATGCTAGCTCTAGAGGAAAGGTCAGGGTCTCGCATGTAGCACTGACGACAGAAATCAAAGGGCCACGCCATCCATTTCAGCTTCACAATACTTATTGATTAAAACATAAAAGAAAAAAGGGCTTAGATCGCCGTTTTCAGCACCACTGTGGGAAGCAATTCTACAGGGACTGTGTGGCTAGGGGAGTATCAGTGCTGTTATTGAGTGCTACAGTTAATACAATATTGATCTTTTATAGCTGATGTTAAAGCACATCCCTCACCCACCTCTCGAAAACATAAAAATAAAAGTAAAAAATTGCTCTTTTTATTTTGGTTACCTAGCCTGAATCAGCTCCAACGTGTCCATTCTGGGAAACCGATGTGTATCGAAACGCTTGAATGTGTCATCAGTTTCTGGTAGCAGTAGCCGGTAGGTTTTAATGAGCTTACATTGTATAGATAAAAGTGGCAGGTGCAGTTTATTCATCGGGATCAGCTTTTTTTTAAGAACCAGATCCAAAAATAAAACAAACAAAAAGCTCTCGGAAACTCTTAGCTTTTTTGTCATTGTCAGAAATGGCATTACCTAGGGAATGGATTGACCAAAGAACTGTGATTGTGTCTTGAGTACTGCAATCTTGGCAAAATCCAGTTGTGTGAGAACTACTTCTGTTACCTTTTATAACTTTTTATATATATACACACATTTCCCAGTTGTTCATAATGTGGAACAATTCTTTCATTTCCCACTGCAGGATATTAGAGTGGGAACTCATAAGAACAGGAGGAGTTCAGAAACACATGTGGAGTATGTGTGGGAATATGCAGCGCTTGCACCAGCAGTCAGTCTCATATCCTCATACAGACTTTTCTCATTACTCCTCAGGGTTTATATGATTGCTTCATGCATCTCAACCAGGTCCAATAATGAACTGTCTGTTGGCTTGTACAAGACAATGTGTGCCTACTATGTAAATCTTTTCAAAAGGAACAAAACGTAGACGTTAAAACATTGAGCAGCAAAACTCTGTCTTGATATGGAATCTGCAGCTCGCAGAGAGAACATGCTGGATGCTGGAGGGGAGAAGAAGATGAACTCTACTATCTAAGAGTAGGTTTGATTAAGCACAGTTCTAAAGAGACATCTTTGAAGGTCAGCAGAATGACAAAACAATAGTTCCACAGTTGTGTCTCAGACATGACCTCTTTTGAGTGAACTGTGTGCCTTCTTAGAAATACCACTTCAAACCATACCAAAACCATTGTTAGCGTACTTGTGCTTCAGAAGTTACAGGTCTCTCAAGTGGCTGTTTTAATCATTAATCCAATTAAATACTATTGCATGTGTGACTCACTCATTGAAATGTTAGTAATAACTATTTCACTAGTAACAGTATACTTCCTGCCTTTATATTAAGTTGCTTTCTGCAATGTTTGCTGAATTAATGAAGACAAAACATATCCAGAGTATTTACAGTCTTCCTGGCCGCTCAATGACTGTGTATTAGAAAACAATGCATGACTAAAATGATATCTCAATGCAGGTTTATGGAACTGGAGCATTAATGTTCAAAAGTGCTCACAGTGGGAATGCCATGGGCTTTTATTAGTGTTGTGTGAGTGAATAAAGCAGACTAAATATTAATTAAAATTTTCTTTGAAGTCTATTTGCTTTCAGGGGTGACTTGCGTCTCAATCATACAAATGTGATTTTTAATAATGCTGTTTAAAAAATATCATCCTTAGGACTAGTTTCTCTCTGTTTCTTCATCTGAGTGACTAGATTATAATTGCAGAGCTTGATGTAAATATTGTGGGAACCTACTGTACCTTGTCTGGTGTCTTAATAGTGTTAA